TCCTCCACATACAAGAGCTCCAGAAATGAATGTTGGTCAATTCATAGCTGGTCAACAGGTTCCCTTTGAACTCTATGAGCTAAATATTTGTATCTTCTCTTGTTACACTTCCGAGGACTAAATAAAAAACAGGTTTTGGCCAATAGGTTTCATTTTTGCTGGTTAAAACGCCATTTCCTACGGACAGTCATTCTCGGTCGACCACATCGGTCTTTTATAGATAACTATGCAATAATTATTTTATTTTAAAAAGGCTTGAGCGACACAGCGAAGATTTGGCAACCATGTTTCGGATGTGTAGCCGTTTGAAGGTTTCTTTGTGTCTGGTTTGTCTATGTTGGAGCGATAGTTATCCGCTGTGCTATACCTAAGTGTGCTTTGACCATCTAAGATACCGCATCGATGGCGGCAACGTTTTTCTTTTTTGGTAATGGACTCCAGAGATGGTTCCATGGATGGCGGTGCCAAAGCCGATGTGTTGTTCTGTCCACTCGAGGCTGTTGCTTGTAATAAAAGCTGGATCTGATCTTCATGTATGACATGTGTTTTCAATGATCCACCACTTGTGTGCAAACACGACGATGAATTTGACCACAGACACTATGAAAAAAAAAATTAAATAACTAGCTACAACTTGAGTTAGGAGTAGTCTCCGTCTTCTTTATATTGGTATGAAGCTTGTCCTTCTTCTTGTACAAACTCTTCTCTCTTTTCCCAGCCATTGGGCCAGCCGCTGTTCGCCTGCGTGGTGGCGCCGTAGGTTTTGGCGGCGCCGTAATTGATATAATTTTGACTAGTGTCCCCGCTCTCCTCGGCCAGCTCATCCTCGTGGATGAAGCCGCACTTCTCGTCGCTGGTCTGCTCGGGGTCCGCCCAGGGTTGCTTGTCTCCGGAGGCGAAGAGGCCGTAGAAGATGACGCCGCCGTAATGGACCATGGCTGCGATGAGGAAGACATATTGCCATTCCTCACGTGTCTACAAAAGATCGGAAAAAAAATAATAAAGGTTAATAAAGCAGCAGATCGATAAATTCATTAGGGCGAGGGATGAGTGGAGTGATCCGCCGAAACTGATTTGGCCACAAAATGATCAATTAGCCTCAAATTTCACCATATTGCTTATGGAAAATGTAGAGAACATCACATGGCTCTGTTTTGTAACAAAGTCACGGGTTCATCATATCAGTGTTATCATGTGATTAATGTGTGTGGATTTGTATTTAGTTTAAGATGGAGCAGAGAGGAGTTAAAGTGACATGAAACCCTCAGATTTTTTTAACATAAACCAATACTGTAATGTGCGCCTTACTGTAATCCATGGTTGTTTCCCCTCTCTTTGCTGCTCTTCCTTTTAAATCCTCATGTCTTCTCATGCTGAGGGAGAACTTCCCTTTGCAGCTGAGTGCTTCCTGTAGTGCTGGCTCAGGTTATGAACCTTCACACAGACACCGTGTATCCATTCCAGAGACAAGGCAGTCTGCTGCAAAACAGAAGTTCTCCCCCAGCATGAGAAGAGAGAAGGATTTAAAAGGAAGAGGAGCAAAGAGAAGGGAAACAACCATGGATTACAGTAAGGAGCACATTACAGTATTGTTTTATGTTACAAAATCTGAGGGTTTAATGTCACTCTAAAACCCCAGATGGAGATTGACCTCTCAAGTTGTCCTGGTGGAGAATTCCCGTCTCAGACAGATGTCCCTGGTAGATGATGTCTCCTCCTTTCCCAGTGTCACAGGTCGGCTCAGTAGATTGCGAGGTGAGGGAACACATACCGGCGTTCGCTCACCTCTCGATCCTGTCACGGCTCTCTGCCGTGACAGGGGAGTGGCTGGATTCCCCCCTCCCCTGTCCGATCCGCCAGCGCTGACTGGCGGAACGGACGGGGGAGGGGGCAGGTACAGCTGGCTCTGCCTCTAGATGGGCAGAGCCAGCTGTCACTCACGCAGCTGGGCGGATCCCGGCACGATTGTCGGGATCCGCTTCAGCTGCGGCGTCTCAGTATACAGCAAGCTACAGCTCCCTATATACTGAGCCTAGGGTGACTGGAGGACGCTAGTTTGTGTCCTCCCGTTACCCTGAGGAGAACTATGGGGAAAAACACTGACCCCGTAGTTCTCCTTTAACTGCCAATTGGACACTAGCAATCAAAAGACTGTTAGGCCACTCCAGGAGGACCCCTCCCACTACCAGCATGCCTCGGCTTTTTTTCTAGTGTCCTAGGGGGATGGGCGTCGTTTCTTCAGCTCTCCTGGGAAAAGTCTAATTTTTTATTATTGTTTGTTGTGTAACCCACCCCCCCGTTGTCAGTTGGACGTCTTTGAAGATTCTCATTCACCTCTTTGGATGTCTGTGAAGGTTCTCATTCATTCAGGTCATAGTGTTACTGTAAGAACTATATCAGAGCAACTGGACTTGCTGTATAGTTCTTGAAGACGATTGGTTGGTCATCCGACTATCTTCTTCAATTCAGAACTGAGAAAGCTGGTCGGATGACCAGCCAAACATCTTCAAGACAAATACACCAAGTCCAGTTGCTTTGATTTATTTTTTACAGATATACTTTTCGGATGTCCCAAAGGTGAGGGACTTCCTGTGTCTCTCTGTGAACAAAAAAGAAAATAGGATTTTTGCACTTGAAAAAACGTTTCTTGCATTCCATCGAGGGATACGAGTCCCGGTGTTCTATCAAAGTTTGTGACTGCGTGAGAATTTGTGACCGGGGACGTGGTCACACATTTTAACATAATCCCGCTCACTTTTTCGGCGGTGGAATATGTGACCGGCAAAAGGTGATGAATTCCAACGCTTTCTCAGCTGTTCCAGGGCAGATCGGTTCTCCTGCGCATACCATCTGCGATGCCGATCTGCCCTGGAACAGCTGAGAAAGCGTTGGAATTCATCACCTTTTGCCGGTCACATATTCCACTGCCAAAAAAGTGGGCGGGATTACCTTAAAATGTGTGACCACGTGACCGGTCACACATTCCAACCCAGTGACAATCTTTGATAGAGAACCGGCCCTCTGTGTCTTGATGCTGCTAGGGATAACACTGAGGAATGCTGGGAGTAGGAGGGGTTATCTTGAGCTGACCTGCAGTTTTTTTTTGATTGCCATGTTCAACCCTCCTGTAGGTGGCAGTATAACCCGAAGGGGAAGAAGCTCTAGTGTCCCCACGGGAAGGATTTTATGGTGAGTACAAAATTCTATGTTTGGCTTTTAGATAACATCTCGATAATAGATACAAATGTGTATTCAGAATTTGTAAACAATGACAACTGAACCCGATTTCCCTTTAACGAGACGATAGATCAGATCGGTTCGGCGTTTCTATATTTTCCTCACCGGCTGACAGTTATGTCGCCGGTAATAAATGTTGGCTGGCGGTCCGTGTATTTGCGGCGCTCAGCTTGTTTCTTTCGCAGTTAATTAAAACCTCCTGACTCGGCGGTCACATGTGGACCGGAGAGAGTGTCGGAGGTTCTATTTTTAGAAGGCTCGCCGCTCTTCCTGACAGCGCCGGATCCCGTAATGAGCCCGGGGGGGGGAGAAGCCTGAGATGGACGTACTTTGTTCTTAGTCATGGCTCCGACGATCAGGGGGCAAACCATCCCGGACAGGGTGCCCACGCCGTTGGAGATCCCCATCAGGATGCTGGCGTAGCGAGGAGCGATGTCAAGATGGTTCACATTGAATCCTAGAGAGAGAGAACATCGAATTTACATGAACATAAAGCAGGCGCCAAAAAATATATCCAACCCAATCAGATCAGAAGATATCACATTTTATATCACAGGCTTTTTATTCCTCGATTCCCC